AACAACTCGATTGTAGTCAATACCTATAAATAATGTACGTTCAAGTAATTACTGCGTTTGAGCTACAGTTAGTGCTGCTGGCTGTAGATCGAGAACTGCTTTGACATAACCTCGGTTGATTTACATGACGATACGGGAACAAGGCACTTGCACTCGTAAACCTAGCTGTCTGTTGAGTGACGAAGTACCTTGCTCTTGTAATAGTGGGCATCTGGAGGTGTTATGGTCACATCACGCTAATGACGATTAATGTTACAGCGTTCAGATGAGAGATAGCAGCATTTATTCTTTTGCGCTTTCATCGCAAATCTCCGTGGAGGTTTCCCATGAAGAAATTTGGTTTACAATCGCTTATGTTGTTACAGAAAAGTAATAAACTTGTGTGATTCACAACGAATTGTGACAATAAATTTGCCTTCCACTAGTGAAGCGTCAGGGCGGCAGTTAGAAAGTGGATGGGTAACTGCCACTAAAGATCGACTCATCGAATTATTTTGTTGACGTGTGGTGTCTATATTCTCAACTGTGTCAAGAGCGGCAATCACGAGGCCTGCATACGTAGTGAGGGCCGGTCAAAGTTTCTTGGACTTCTGTGTAACAAAATAAGCGTCTGTAAACAAAATTTCTTCAATATAAAAAAAGTCAAGTTTAAAAGTCAAAATCAAAGGTGTGCTTTATGTGATAGCTTAAGAATTTTCGATAACGGTTGTCAAATGAAACAAAAAAAGTATCGATTATCTTCTTCGAATAATACTGATGATGTGTTTCTGGATTAACGAATCAGTTTTAACATTATTCTCGATAAAAAGCTGATATTTGTTTATTTTCTCAGAATATGAAAATATGATCGACAACACATTTTTTTAAATATTTATCCTCGTATATACATTTTAAAGTTATTTCGTTTATGTTACATTGCATTTTTTAGTTGAATAATCCCTTTCTAGTTATAATGATGTTTTAGGTAAATGAAAAGGTATCAAACAATTTTTTTCTGACAAATTAACCTATTTGTACTTGCGACTACTTTTCTAAAATAAAAATTATTGATTTGAAATGAAATAAATTGATTCATTTTCTCTTTTCCATATTGGTTCTTTGATTATAGTTAGCGAGGTGTCTGATTAGTATTATTTTATAAACAAGCATTTTTTCAATATATTCAATGCATATACTTCAACTTACCGAACTAACCGATGATATAATGAACTTATGCGATGATGAATTTTATCGTTTTCTCGAAAAATCATTAAATACGAATCTATGCCAACTTTTCCAAGTTCAGTCTATTCGAGATATGATCTCGTTGTCATCCGTAACCCTTGATCAACTCATAGAAATACTCACCTTTGATATTGTTGATTTAAAAGATTTGAAAAGGACACTTGGTTTTGTAACAAGTGATCGAAAATTTCATCTTCGTCTTGGTCACCGGCATTTATTAGAACATTTGTTACTGTTAGTAAAATCAAAGAAAAACTCATCAACTAGAAATCCTAGTCTTTCTTTCATCCTAGTCTTTTTTCAACTACATGAATAACCAGTTTCTCGAGAAACTTCTAGAAATGTGGAAACAAGTATCCAATTCATCGATAGAGACCCGTATTCCAGTTTTGTTTCCATAGATTAACAATATTTTTCAAAATTTAGAAAATAAAAAATAGATATCGTTACGATGATCAGATACAAGAGTTTGCTTTATTAATATTCATTTTTGGAGGTCGAAATAGTTATGAATTTCTTCGACTTAATCTACCATCAGCATTACCTCACATAACTAATTTAGAAACTCGGGATCAGGAATTTAAGATGATTGAAGGTGAATTTCGATTTAATTTGTTGAAGGAATATTCACGATCGACTGAATGTAATTATATTTTTGTTACCGAAGATGCAATTCGTTCTATATCCGCTATTGATTATGATGCACAAGTGAATTCCTTCATTGGTTTTTCACCACCATTAGTTAATGGGTTACCCAGAGATGAAGTTTTTTCAAACAGAAAATTTTGAAATATTCAAAAATTGGTTTGATACAACAGATACATCGAAATTCATCAAGCTTTACATGGCGAAGTGTTTAAAGTCATCTGCTCCTCCTTTGATTTTATGTGCGTATGGTTCGAACAACAAGTTCGAAGCAATCGATGTTTTGAGAAGGTGGTTGTTTATTTATAATCAAAGCTTAAGTCAAGGTGTGCGGGTGATTGGTTTCAGTACTAATGCAGATTCTCGCTACCTAAAAGCCATGCGGTTATGCTGTCGTTTCGTTGCCGAATTACCTAACTTAAATTTGTTCAATTATAATGATTATTTTGATATAAGAATACCTGAACAATGGTCTTGGTTTTACATGAAACAAAGACAAGTTTTTCTTTTCATGCAAGTTCCCATACATCTTGCAACAAAAATTCGAAATAGACTCCTTTCTACAGTAGCAAACTTGCTAATGGGAGATTTCTCCACTGACATCAACGATCTTATCGATTTAATCGAATGAAAAAGCAAGATTGAGCACAATTTAATCAAATCTGATCTAAATCCTGGAGATCGACAAAACTTCGCTTCGTGTTTAAGAAAATCTTCTGAAGCAGTATTAGCTTTACTAAGTAAAAATGACAATTGTAAGGGTACTTATGTCTATTTGACTCTATTGAACCTGATTATATCTGCACTTATACATAAATCAGTTACCATCGAAGAACGATTGCATCATATATGGACTGTAGTTTTCGTATGCCAACTTTGGCTCTCGTGGATACAATACTTCAATGTAATGACAAGCAAAAACAATAATAATGTCCGTAATGATAATTCCCAATCATCGACAAAAATCAAACAGAGAATTTTTATTTCGAAATCTGCATTTTGGTGCCTTGAAATCAATGCCCACACATTAGTTTATATAGTCCTTCTAGTTATCAAAAAAATTACCAATACATGCACTCAATACATTTGCTTTTAATTCTCAGAATTGCGAAAATACGTTTCGAATTGCTCGATCGCTGAACGGTTCATTCTCTTCAATCACTACTTTTAGTGTGAAATCCTTCATGAAACGATGCGAAAAAATATCAGTGGTTGACTCAATAAAAGGCCGTAATAATCAAATGGGAGATTATACTTTTCAGTTTCCATAACATCATAAGAATAATCACGAAACATACGACTATTCTGTTAATAATATCAAAGAATTAAATCTGACAGAATATGACATCGAAAAAATTATCCATCGTGCATTTGAATCAGCTCAGAAATATGTTTCAATGGTTAATATGACTCCAGTTTTGAAAGAGAGAAACGTTTATTCTTTGACCGAATTATGCCAATTTATCAAAACAATTTTAAGCAAATCATCTTTGAAACTAGTAGACTATACGGAAAATAACGATTCGAACCGTGATTCAGATGAAGATGATCTCGAAGACAATGAAGATAGTTTAGCAGAAGCCGACGTTGAAGATTTAACATCATACTACACCCTTGATGAATATGGGGAAGAAGAAAGTACTATTCTTGCAAATAATCTTTCTAATGCAACACAGCAAAAACTTCAAGGGCTGTCGAATTTATGATAAAATAAGTCCACAGGAAACAAACAAGTATTTTCGTATTCGTATTGATTCATCGGTGAGATATATTCATAAACAGACAGCCTCTTGGCTGTTATCAACGAACAAAAATCGTCTGTCAAGTGATCGATTAGAACGTGTCAAAGGATTAAACTAAAAATAATAGGTTTTCTTGATCGAAATAGGATTTTCCGTTGATTGCGCTAGTATTATAGTAAATTTTTGACACTTATTTTTCTTTGGATACCGGGATTTTCATGTTATATGTATGTTTAAGCCAAAAATTCTTCACTATTGGAAATAAAACTTGTTATTCATCATAGTTTTTGATCAATCAAAACGAGTTACAACATCGGAAGAGTAATGGTGAACATGTTAAGACACTGCGAAAAGGCTGAAATACTGAGAAAGTGTTGAGATACTGTAAAAGATGCTGGGGTGCTGGAAAGGTGCGGAAGTACCGTGGAGATGCTTAGGTGCTGAGAAGGTGTTGAGAGTACCAATTTTGCACTTTCCCCCATGTATTGCTTTCATAATCAAAAACTATTTTTAATGGAGAAAATAACTTCTTTATTGTTCGTTACTTTATTTGTGCCGATGGTGGTTGGTAAGTATTTTTAATCAAAGCTATCATAGGAGGTAGCTATCATTAATGAGGTAGCTTTATCTTGCAGACGTATGATAGGAGCCATTAACCGAGTTTTTTGTGATGCCCCTGCCTCACTAAGATTACTGCTCTATATGTCTTGCGTAATTCCGAAAATTGACTACTGCTCTGCAATCTATGACTCAGGCTTTGTTACTCATACTGAGCCCTTAGAAATTGTTCAGCGTTTAGCAGCCAGAATTATTGCAAGAGATTTCAACTACCTACATGATAGTAGGAGTTTAATAAACAAATTGGGGATTCCCGAACTAAAAACTAGACGGTTGTATTTTCGTTTAGTTAACTACTTCCGCTTAATCAACAATTACTCCTTGCTAAGTTCTTCTAATCTTATCAGTCTTTCTACCACCAGAGCATCTGATCGTAATAGGCTCCACTCTCGCTGCGTCACGGTTCCCTTCTCTGAATTTGAAACAGTGAAATCATCTTTCTTTTGGCAGACTCCGGTTGACTGGAATAGGATACTAACTGAGCCGCTTGTCAGTGCATCTAATCTGCGTATCTTTAAAGTTGGTTTGCGTAGTCTATTACAATGTTAGCATTTAGTGTCATCTCAACGTTCAAATTTTAAGTTGTGTTTTCCTTTTTCTTTTTCTGTTTTTTTTTTTTCTTCTTTTATTTTTAGTATGTTATATGGATGCGCGGCAGAATATGTTCTTCTAGTCATTTCTGTATTAGCTGTGTTTAAAAAACTTGTGCTACTGTGTACTCATGACTGTTTGTCAAATAAAACCTAAACCTAACCTAAACCTAGGAATTTATCGATATGTATTAGATGCATTTAATGCTCGAGCACTTACTATGATCCAGGTGTTGGTTACTCGGCTTGTGGTACACTTCACGGAACTAATGAGCTTGTATTTGCACTTAATGCCCCTCAATTCGATCCAAGCACACCGAATGGAATCCAAAAAGAAATATATTATGTAATCGTTTGGCTCTAGTTAATGGATCCCGATGATCTGTCACTGTTAAAATGGTTGATAAATGTCCATCATGCCGATATGTAAGTGATATTATCGTACTGACATAATAACATTTTTCTTGTGACTTATAGGGCGATCTGGACCTCTCACCAGAAGCATTTCGACGAATCAATGGAGGTTCACTGACAGCTGGACGCGTCAATGTTGATTGGCGTTGGCTCTAAATATGACGAAAATATCACTAATGTATTTCAATCATTTCTCATTTTATTTCGTTCTTCATTCGAGCACTCTAATTAGATAAGAATGCTTGATGATATAAATATAGACAATACGTTAGAATTATCCATGGAAAAGAAATCAGGAAAATCTAGTATGAGAGAAAAAGGATATCAAATTTACATTGATTTCAATCAATGGAAGATAAGCTCACTCTTACCATCGAGATTGTGTTGAAAAACCAAGAAAGTCTTACTTAGATCTATTTATATAATCAGACATCATTCGATGAGTTATGTTTACAAACACCTACTTCGACCGGATCCAAAAATAGACCTCTCAAACAACCTTGTAAATCTGCGCACACTAGGCTAATGAAAATGAACATTAATTTCAATCAATCTTGACCTAAAACTTGTACCATTCTATCGAAACTACGTCTATAAGTGTACCAAAATTTTGAGAATATCTCACATGAAAACATAGCAGACCATCTGTTTGATACTGTTCGAATAAAAGCAGCACAATAATCTAAATCAAATAGCTCAGTTTCGACTTTTTAACAAGATTAGATAATCATTCGAATTTTCCGAAAAGAAACTATCCATGTATCGTAAAGTGCAGCACATTTTATTTTAGTGCTTAGTTATAGCCTTTAGAATCAGTCAAAAGTGATTTGCGTAAAAAAAGTTTTTAGACACTAAAAAGATAAATAATTAATTAGATGAAATTTTCAGTCTATTAATAAACGAAATAGTAATTTTAAGAAGTTGCATTTTGAATATGTTGAAGAATACTTTGATTAAATATTAATTGATTTTGTTTATTGAACATATGCCCAGCACTTTCCAAGATCACTGTTTTTGCATGGAGTAAATCAGCCAATTCTTGTTGTTTTTTAGGTGGTAAAACTTTATCTTGCATAGATATTTGTACTGTTATCGGTGCCTGTGAATCTCTGATCTGTTGTGCATGTTCATCTGTTAAATAATGCGAATGCAAAATTAGATGCTGTTGTGAACATCCTTCAATATCTCGAAAAAAGAACCATTTGTTAAAATCAATTAACCATTTTTGAATAAGTTCTTCCATTTCTTGTTCCTCTACTCCATTAAATACTATTGGAACCAATGAACGTATCATTTGTTCATCATCCGGTTTCATCGCAAAATACGGAAGTATTATTCGAGAAAACACCCATTTAGGTAATAATGCCATTGGTCGCATATAAGAACCTAAGTAGAAATTCATACAATCATTTTTGTCAAATATCAGTGCGATGGTTTGAGAAAGAGCACGAAATATATTTACTTACCACGAATAGTAATTCCCAAATAAAGTGATAAAAGTCGCTGTTCAGATGCTAACAATACGGCTAATTCTTGGGCTATCATTCCACCTAAGCTCACACCTAAAACATGAACTGCAGCTTGATCACCCCATACATAATTAATTAACTGACGAACATCATGAGCTAATAGTGTTGATGTTTGTCGTACTATTGTGATAGCTGTTATTCCTGATTTTGAATTACCAACTCCACGATGATCGAAAGTCAATATTTCTATTGATGATGGATAATGTTCACTAAGATATTCTACTTGTTCGTCGAAAAGTCTTAATGTTGAATGTGCACCCATAATCATTACTAATTTTGTCGATGAAGTTGTTGATGATGATGATGATGAACAACGGAGTTCATAATAGATTTTAATGTCAGATGTTAATGAAAAATAATCCTTTTTTATTGATAGATCACTCATATTTTGCGTTTCAGAAAAGGAAGAGTATTTCTACAACGACAACATAAAATATCTTGAAATATTTCTCTATCTAATAGATTACTCGTTTATATGCATGTATGTGAGAAAGAAGCAAAAAGATATAAAACAACGCGACGTTTTCAGCTTGTATAATAATGTGAAAGAAAAGAAAAACAACAATTCTTGGTACTTATACAGAATAGACACCACACATTACGTATATACAGAATAGACACCACATATTATATATAACAGAAAAGGAAAAAGAATTTATTGGAAGGCAAAAGAGCAATTGTATTAAGAGATTATAGACGACGCGAAGTATAGAACGATGAGGACAAGTACGACAAATATGTTTAAAAACGAAAAAAAACAATAGGAATTAAAAGAAAAGTGAAACCGAAGAATTAATTTTCTTTTGGTACCGGATACAGATCATTAATTTGTTCGATGAGGTGCATGAGTGGTCGATCACTGAATCTCTTTCGCCACATGAATTCTGTTAGATGGGTTTGTAACAACGATTTGTGCATCATACTCTTCTTTTTCATCTTTGCACACATCCACATATTCTCGATGTTCTGCGTGTGCACCTGTGTGGTTGGATCGACAAAATGCAGCGAGTGATTCACCGTAAGATGGTTGTATTGATTGATGTTGCTGTACAGTGATGAATATGCTCGCCATTCATCACTGTATACGGTGGTACCAGGTCTTACGTATCGTTGCTAGAAACAGAGATACATGAGACTCTAATCGTTAGACTCGCATAACATACTTACAATTATTGGTAAAAGAGTAGCTGCATCTCGACGATCAACCGTAACAGCAAAACATTCACCCGTATCACGATCCGTGCCACCGAATACCCATTGATTACCAATTGCCCGGCCACGATTATACTTCCGCTTCGTCCAGGAACTTTCATCAATTTCGACGATATGCCCAACACCACCAATTAACTGCCACTAATAGTGGCTAGAAGCAGGATTGGTAAAAATTTTGCTACAAATAAGAAAATGGGGTAATACTAAAACGCTGAATTTTTTTACTGAATGCTGAATTGCTGAACGACGCTGATTGGCTGACTTCAAAACATGGATTTCTGCTGATAAATTCAGGATTATGATCGATACTGTGACAT